TTTATTGTTGTTTTTTTTGGGGGGGGGGGATTTTTGTTCCTTTGAATTTAAACAAAATCATGTTGATGTTCTTTTGTTATATTTCGCAGTCCGCCCCAGTTTCAGGAAGGACACAAGAGCGGCGGTGCTACAGGCGCAAGATGTGCCGGGCCGGCAGGAACACGGCCGACGACATGCCAAGCGGCCGGCCGGCTCCGGCTGAGTCCGAACCGAGCCGCGCATTGGGCCAATGAAATAAGAACACAACAATTGCGGCGCTTTGTCGTAACGGCGGCGACGGCGGCCGCTCGGCAAGTCATCATCGGTACAAAGTTGTTGTTGTTGTTTGCGCCACTCAGCGCAGCGCGGGCCGGTGTGGGTGCGCCTCGCACGGGACAGATTAGCGCCGTCTACGGGCCTCCAGCTCCCGTGTGCAGCGCTGGAAGGGCGGCGCTCACAATCACAGACCACCACATGATCGAAGGACACACATTGCACCATGTTATGACAAATAGGCTACGCGCCGAGGGGGGCGCGTGCATTGTAACAGGGTACTTCCTCCCCAAGCCTGGGCTGGGCTGCTCGGCCATCACGGCCGATTGCTGCAGTTTCCCGGAGTCTGCGGTGGTGCGGTGCGGGTGGTGCTGACGGGATATAGGCTGCCGGCTGCCGGCTGCGAGCAGAGAGCCCAGAAAGACTCTTAATTAATTCTTCGCGTGTCGAACATTTTGTTTTCGCACATTTTTGCAGGCGCGAGTCTCAATGTTATGCCACCAAGACACGCGAAAGCCCGCGAGCACGAGGGTGTAGCCAAAAGACATACAAGGTTTTCGTCAATAAATTTATTTATTCGCTAGTGAGGTATTTACATGATTGTCTTCTTCTCTACACAGTCTTTGAGATGAGATAGTTTGTCAGTCGTTGACGGGTGGGCGCTGCGCTCAGTAGTGGGCGGACTCGGCCTTCTTGTAGCCCTCTGGGTGCGCGGCGTGGCCACTGTAGGAGACGACGGCGTTGAAGCCGCTGTGCTTGTCCGCCGTGTAGTGCACGATGCGCTTCCTGCCATCGGGCTGCAGCAGCGAGTACTCGCCCTTCACCACGTCACCGTCACGCTCCTCCTGCTGGTCCTTGACGTCCCCGGTGTGCGAGTCGTGCACGCCGTACTTGAACGCGTACTTTGGGTGAGCCTGCGAAACAGACACAAATACCGAACGAACTTTTTGAGTAAACGGTGCAAATAATGAAAATATAGTACAGACACACGACCCGATATGGTTTTCGGAACAAACGCGATTGGTTATGATCGACAGCCTCGATTGGTTATGATCGACAGCCTTGCCAATAGGTAAAAGAAGTCACGGGGAGCAAGTGTTACTTTCACTCACAACATATGAGTAGGGTTAGTAATGGCACGTGACGACCCTGTGCAGAGCGGATGCGACCGTCACAAGCCCCTAACCAACCGTGGGCATGCAGACCCGCACAACACAGAAGTCCAACGGGAGAGTCTACCCTCCAGGGGCTCTATCCGTACTTACGTAGTGCTCGGGCTCGTGCTTGTATTCCTGCTGAACGTAGACGGGCTCGGGCTTCTTGTACTCCTGGTGGACGTAGACGGGCTCTGGCTGCTTGTACTCGTGCTTGATGTAGACGGGCTCGGGCTGCTTGTATTCGTGCTTGATGTACTCTGGCTGCTTGTACTCGTGCTGGACGTACACGGGCTCGGGCTTCTTGTACTCGTGCTTGATGTAGACGGGCTCCGGCTGCTTGTACTCGTGCTTGATGTAGACGGGCTCGGGCTTCTTGTACTCGTGCTGGATGTACTCTGGCTGCTTGTACTCGTGCTTGACGTACAGAGGCTCCTGCTTGTAGACGGGGGCGTGCTTGTACTCGTGCTTGACGGACGACAGCTGATTCACCGACACGTAGGACTGGGCGTGCCCGTAACTCTGCTGCTGCTTGTACTGCGCGGCCGCGGCACCCACCACGACGAGCACGATGATGGCCTGGGCAAATAAAGCACGAAAATAATGAAAGTAGAATATTTTTTCTGATACATAGTTAGGATAATGGATGTCTTATCAATTAATTATTCCCGCAAACACTTGTATACTTGCTTCCTCCGCCGTACTCACCTTGCTGATCCCCATGACTGCGGTGTGCTGACTTACTGTGCCTGGACGAGGGGCAGGCTCCAGTTTATATATGAGGCACGGGTGACGCCCCCGGTGCCCCGGCCGGCCGGGCGGCGTTGGGGCAGGTCGGGTTAGGGCGGCCTGGCCGTGGGGGCAGCGGGGGCAGCGCGCGAGAAGCGGGGAGTCCAGGGGAGCCCCGGCCCGCGGGGGGCGGACATCTCCGCCGAGCGGAGACCTTCGACACAACTGTCGCTTACAGATTCCACAACACTCCAATTGACTTTCTCGCTTAAAAGTACTGTATCATGTCATTGGGCGTGACAAACCGACAAACCTCGTCATTTTCGCAGCAACTGTAAAGAGAACGGCCTCGTGTACGGTCTGTGTTGCTGCTATAATTCGCACATACACCAGAGTTGCAGCCTTGTCTAATTGCATGTTCTTATGGTAAGTGTCTATACTCCGCATTTTTGTTTTGGTTTGAAATAATTTGGGAGTGTGCTGGACTGGCTGGAAGAGGGCAAAAGAGGCTCTCCCTGATTCTCGGAATACCCGCTAACCACCGGCCGGGCGTCTTTCCCCTTCACGTGTCTGGAATGAATCGCGACTTCCACATAATGGAGCAGGGCGGAGCAGGGCGGG